GGGGGGGGGGGGGAGCACTGCACTGCTCACAAGTTGATCTATTGCTTGTCGTGGTGATTTGCTTCGGACCTTTGACCACGCCTCTCTCTTCTTCTCGGCATGATTTTGGGCGGCCATCCGCCTCTATCTGCGAGATCGGACAGCAGTTGCGTGCAATTGGGAGAGAGGAATCAGTTGGCACGGCCCTCTCGTCGTTTCTTTTGTTTCAGTTCTTCACGGCGGTTGTGGTGTTCTTGCTTGATGTCTTTCACTTCACTTGTCGGTTTTGCGTGTGAAGTCTGACGCGGACGGGTTGTGTCGGAGAAAGTTCGTACACTACGATGACGGGTTTACCAACCGAAGGTACTCCCTCCATGTTTGTCCCGTGGTGTTTTGGCGTGCGGCACTGCTGCTGCTGCGGGTTCTGACAGTGACCGAAGAGATGTGCCCGAAGAAAAACCATCAAGCGGTCGACGCCAACGGAGAACAAGCGCCGAAAGCTGAGCCAATCGACGACGACAGCACGACCTGCCGAATCTGTCTATCGGATTACCAGGTGGGAAGGAAGGACACTGAAAGTGGTGCATTTACGGGGAGGGGGGGGTGATCGGTCGGTCCCTGTTGCTTTTGAATGGTAAAAGTGGAGCGGATGTTACCTGGGGTAGCGGGTATGAGAGCCCACGGGACAGCAGTAGCCGGAGTAGCGCACCGGCCCCCGTGATGAAAGTCTACATAAACCCTTGACGCCAAGCAAGACCGCCACTCGCTGTGACGTTTGCGGAAGCCCGTCTTCTTCGCAACGAGTCTAAAGGTCGTTCGGCCAAGCGATCGATCGGTTTTCTGGAAGTCATGGGAAGTGCTTTCTTCAGCGCCGAGAACAGCTTCCGTAGTTCATTCGTTGTGGAGAGAAATATCGCGCCGAAACATTGTCAACCGTTGGGGGGGGGGGGGGGGGGGGGGGCTTTTTTTCGGAGGGGGGCGATTCATTCCCATCCCTTTCCTGTCTCTGAAATTTTATCACACCATCCCTTTGCCTAGTGATGATGGCATTAAAATTTCAAAATAAAACTCGGTCATCGGTACAAGGGGCTCAACGCAACTTTTTCCTTTCAGATGGAGATTCATTCGCGAAAAAAAGGAAAAACGGGGACAGGACCGAAATATCCGCGTGTTTGAAACGCCCCGACCTACATGAAATTTTCAGGTCATGGTAAATTTGGGGTGGGGTTGTGGCGAATCCAGAGTCAGAATTTCCCAACTCCATTTTCGCTCAGAGTCATTGCCCCACACCCGTCGGTATGTTGTTGCTGCCGAAGTCGCAGAAAAAAATCAAGGAAGCATGTTGTGAAGCGGGTTCAAGAACTCACGCGCTCGCCCCAAAAGCCCCGAAACACAAAGTCAAAGCACGCGCTCCGAACGGCGTTATGCACGCGTGTCAGTTTCCCTCTTTTATCATACGGAAACCCTCCCTGTCGAACACGATATTGCTTTCGGCTCTCTCGTGCTACCGAAAACAGGTTTCAGCCCAACCACGAGATCTACCCCAGTGACCCCGACGATCGTCTCCTCAACTTCGGCCGGCATGCTTTGAGCACGAAGAGTAGGCCCGGGTACATTCTTCTCGGTAAAGCACGCGTTGTTTGTGTTCACGCCGCCGTCACACTGTTTGCAACAGCAAGACGCCGAGGAGGTGACAAGCTCGTTGTCGAGGACAACCTCCTCAAGCCGATCCACCTCGCTCCCCTCTTCCTTGCCCTCCCGCTCCGACTCTACTTCTTCCTCCCCGTCTTGCTCGCCGTCCTACCCCTCATCCTCCTCCTCTGGCCTGCCCTCTTCCTCCCCATCCCGTTCTTCCCTTTCATCCTCGGACCCGTCCGCCAACTTCAACTTGGCGCCGTGCCCTGCTGGTGCACCTTGTACCAGAAGACCCAGAAGCACCCTCCCACGTCTTCTCTTCCTCCTCCTCCGCTTCCTCCTCCTTATCGTCACCAGGATCCACGAGGCGACATCTAGTTTTCTTCCGTTTCTTGCCCCCCCGCCTTACGCCGTCAGATTCACCCCCTCCCCCGACCTCGTCGCCGCTCTCCTCTCAGTGCCGTCCTTACTCCGCGTAGGGCTCCACGGTACATACATATGGCCTCGCAGTGAGCTCCGTCCCCTCCACCTCCCCCTCGTACGCCCCCATCGCCAACGCCAATCTTTCTCGACCACGTCCGGAATGTCCCCGTCGCTCCCTCGCCTATAAGTCGTGGTCTCGAGGCCCGTTAGGCCCGTCTTGTTTCTAAAAACATAAAGGTATCCTTAGTACCTGTGGTGCCCTATTTAACTGCAGGTGCGGCCTGTATATAGCTTTATGTGTTTGGTGTGCACACGCCGGATGCGATACGGAGACCACGTGGCGTGAGTAGTCGGCGAGTTCCTGGTTCCCTCTCTTCCCCGATGTTGTCCTCCCTTCCCCGATGTACTCGAAGAAGAGTGCATCCAAGAAAACCACCACACCGTAATCTCCGGCAATGAGTTCGCCAAGTTGCTCCGACTTCCTCAGGGCGTCCTTCGCCACACCGCCGATTACCCTCGTGGCAGCCTTTGAAATGAGAGGTCGCCGCAACATGATGCTCCACGATGAAGCCAAATCTGCCGCTCGCTGTCCCCTAGAAAAGTTGCGCCTGCCCTGTTACTGCTTGGCGCACCCGTTCGTGAACTTGTGCATGCGGGGGGTCCGTTCGTTTTCCCGAGCGGCGGCAAGTAGTTGCGCCACTTCCGGGCCCATCCAAGTGCTATAGCAGTCGGCGGACTGAGTGAACGCGTTACGGGGGAAGTCGGAGTCATCATGGACAGGCGGGTTGGGTATTAGTGTCGCTATTCTTGCTCTGGGGTTCGAACCAGTACGCGCCCTCGCGCATCGCTTCCGTCGGAGAAAGGTCGGGCCTCAACCTTGTAACGCACTTGTCGGCGCTCGCCAAGTGGTCGCGGTGAACGCCGAGGAG